CGACACATAAATAATTTAGGTTTAGGGTTTTCGTTTGTTGTGTGTGTGTGTGGGGCGGGGGGGGTTGAACAAATGAAGCTGCCTGGCTTTCGAGCCTCTCACATTGTGATAGACCCAACTTCATCCGCTTGACAGGGAGCCAAGGCAAATATCTATATTCCCCTTTATGAGATCCAATTCTTGGCTCCTTCGCTGAAGGCACGAAAGACTTTTGACAGGGGTTAACATGAATTTATAAATTTGCTGTTTTAAGTGAGATTCTTTATGTCTTTTGTAGGTTTTGTTTTGTCAGATGTTGATTTAATATTTTGAAAAAAATAGTTTTCTTAGAAAAATTGTGTTTGAGAAATCAGTTGTAAGAGCACAACTCGTGATATGTGGGTTTGGCATACATCACATGTTCGAACCCTACCACAGACTAAAGCCTAGTATTTAAGTGGGAGAAGGATAGAGGGGCGGACCCATTATCCACCGATTTTGAGTCTTGTGCCAACCGGTCCTTGGGGATTTCTTGGTTATCAAAAAGAGTATCACTGAAGCTCGGAAACATTTTGGACGCTTTCATATGCGTGTATATGCAAATGACCAAAAAAGTGATTTTGCAATTGAGAATAGCTATTGAGGCATTTTTGGAATTTAATTGGTTTCCAGAAACAATGCATGCGTTTTAATACTTAGCAAATCGGTGTTGGAAGTGTTGTGGCTTAAGTGATGAATTGTAGATCTACAGACATGATTGGAATCCTTCCAAGTGATTTACTGATGTCTTTCCAATGTCTTATGGCCCAGATATGATAGAGCTAGGGGAGTTGAAATAGGGAACAAGGACATCAAGCTTGAATACTTGGAAGAGGCGTACACGACTTCTAACTGGATAGTTAGAATTTATAAAGTCAAACCACCCAAGAACAGGTGGTAAACTGGATCTCCTTTCTATCACCACTGCGGGACTAGCTGTAATGAGGATCTCAATTTTTGAAAGCATTAGATAGATATAGATTACTGCTTTCTTTCATCTTCTATTTTGGGGTGAAAAGTTATGGCTTCAGTTGCTTGGGATGTTTTTTTTTTTTTTTCAGATTTTGTAGCAACTTCTTTTCACTAATATGATCTAAGTGTATTACTTTTGTAAGTCTGTAGTTTCTCTGCAATCTTTCGTGGTTAAAGGAACTTGAGAATAGGATAATGGTAATTCATCTATTTGGTTTACGACATTGAGATTTGGAACTTACTTTGTGACTACTAATTACCTCGTTAGTTAGCCACTTTGCTCTTTTCTTTCCAAAATTAAGTGGAAAGAGATCAAAGATTAAGACATTACTGCTGAGCTGATTTGGAAGTTATACATGAAATTAAGAACTTGTCCGGCAGAAAATATGTCCCCAATCATAGTTCAGTTTCCAAGGAATTATATATCTCCCCCTTATATTGTTGAGCAATTGATATTTCTACACCGAGACGATTAATTTCTAATATAACGAGGAAAAGTTATCTTATTTGAAAAAAAAAAAGGAAAGAAAGAAAGCAAAGAAGCAATATATGCCATAATCGTTTTTCACATATAGGGGAAAGCTCAATGGAACCAACGAACTTGGGTAAATATTATCTACACTCGGTATTTGAAAAGCTCAATGGTAGGGTGATTTAATTAGGTGAAAATTTATATTAATTGATCATGATAAAAATTTAAGTTTAAATATGTATCATGCATCTATTGATTTGCCATAAATATTGAGTATGAGTAAATTTTTATGTTTGTTTGTTTTTTCCTTTTTCTTTCCTTCAACTTAACCTCACCTAGCTAGTCACATAACTGTGTCAAATTCAATACGGAGTTGGTGAAAGGAAAACATTAAGATTCGGAAAGATATGACTACTTCTGTCGGAATATCAAGTGAAGGTCCCATGCTGTATTAGAACCACTTAGGTCACATTTTTTTTAGAGGTTAATAGATGGAAGTGAATGTATGATTGGTTAGTAACTTTGTATGATGACTTATTGAACTGAACGGGAGATTGTCTTAACTTTATGAAGCAATAGGTGAGATTTTTTTGATTACAGAAAACAAGACAGGAGATCAACTTAGGAAAACTAAGTGGGCGTTTGGGCATAAGAATTGTAAAATTTCAAAAAAAGAAGTGAAAATGGTATTTGAAATTAGAGTTGTGTTTGGACATGAATATAATTTTGGGTTGTTTTTGAAGTTTTGTGAGTGATCTGAGTGAAAATTTTGAAAAATAACTTTTTGGAGTTTTTAAAATTTTCGAAAAATTTAAAAATTCATCTTCAAGTGAAAATTAGAAATTTTATGGCCAAACACTGATTTAGGAAAAAAGTAAAAAAAAAAAAAAAAAATCGAAAGAAAGTAAAATTCTTATGTCCAAATGGGCTCTAAGTCACAACCGAATGACATGTACAAAGTTTAATCCTTCTTTATTCACATCCAGTAAATAGTATATTATCATCCTCTTGCACTCCAAACAACCATAACCTCAGTCGGTTAGGCAACACGATGGATAACACAATGAACATAAAGTTGTGATAAAGAAGATCCGAACAAAGAGAGGATTGAATGTTTTGGCAAATAAATATACTGACTAATTAAAAACTTATCCAATTATCTTATAAATCATGAATTTGAGATAAATACGTTGTCTAAAGTGGGAAGCCGGACAGCAAAAGGATTAGACATATTCTTGCTTGGTTTGATTAATACTGCAGATAACGACCATCAATCACTACACAAATCTCTTGCTTTCTTTCTTCTAAGTTACAGCTATTGGTTTGATTAATACTGCAGATAACGACAGAGAATTTGTCATCCTTTGAGTAGTTGAGTTCCATAAAATACTAGTGCTGCTATACTATATCTCTACATCTCCACGGCACAATAGCTACCTTTGACCCATAACTTTTAGAGCATTTAGAGTAACTTTGAGGTAGGGGTGTTCATGGTTCGGTTTGGACCGGTTTAAGAAACCAAACCAAGTAAGTCGATTTTTCAAATATTAGAACCAAACCAAACCAATTAAGTCGGTTTTTTCTCAATTCGGTCTATGTCAGTTTTTCGATTTTTTCGGTTATTTGTTGGTTTTTTCTTAAATATAAGACATACACTACCAAACACATATTTCGGAGACCACATTTTCAACGTAACACTATCAAATTAATTGCCCTTTGAGAAATCTATTATTTACCAAGATATATTGAATAAAATAGTGATGAATAATTTAAGGACTCAATTAAGAATATATTATTTTTAACACGAAATGGATTCTTACACTTAACAAAAGAAAACTACCAATCAAACTAGAATGTAAAGGTAAAGAACTATACTAAAAGTGCAAACTATTAACATTTACTATTAAGTTTTTAAAACTTTATATAAAAATATACATATATATAGGTATAATAATGAATTTGAAATAGCTACTCCTATAGTCGGTTTGGTTCGATTTTTTTCTGATTAAAACCAAAACCAAACCAAATTTGATCGGTTTTTAAAATTCAAAACCAAAACCAAACCAAACCAAAAAGTATCGGTTTTTTTGGTCGGTTTGGTTTGGTTTTCGGTTTGGTTCGGTTTTTCGGGTTTTTATGAACGCCCCAACAGTTTGAGGTTTGAACGTCCTACATGCATTCTTAATCCTCAACTGAAATAGCTACCTCTAATAGCAAAAAGTTCTTGTTCTTGCCAATTTACCATACTGCTGCTACAACGGCAAGCCTGCTGCTATGGTAAAAAGTAAAACAAAAATAATGTACTACTAGTAAGACAAAGAAAGTCGTCTCATAACTACAGCCAAAAATGAATATCATAACTTCTGAAAATCTGTTTGGATATTGGAGCAAATTTTAGTTAAATTCAACCATAAGCTAATCATGCTCCATCAGGAAAGGCATGATACTGCATAACAACAAAATATTGACATGACTGCTAAATAGCCTCCTCAGCACAAATTTGAAACAGGATAAGGACAACATAAACGACTGTCACCTAAGTAACCTCAGTCAGGAACTACAATGATACACATTACTGATTCACAACGCAGAACATGCAAACACTCCCATATATAGTCATGTAGAAAACTTAATGAAATCAGTAACTGCAGAAGAGATGTGGAAAGTGACGATTTAAACTTGCATTTTCGCCAAACCTCCCCTCTCTCCCTGCGCTCCTGCTTTTTGAGAAGGGGACTCATCTCTTCAATCCTGTTTTTGTAAGAACTAAGTCAACATGACATGAGAAAGCTGCTTATAAGAGTAAGAACCTGGTAAAAACAACCGTATACTTGCTTTAGGACAAAATTGGATTAGAACTTGTCCGTAGTACGCCTAAATATTATGATGTGAAGGTCTAAAATAACATGATGTCAAACAACTGAAATTGATCCTAAGCCACGCTACAGAATAATCCATGAATCAGAGCAAACCAAAATGCAGTTACACTACTCTAATGAATGAACAATACACAGCATAGAACAAAAATAACATCAATACGAGACCCTTTGGGAGACTTTATTCTAGAGGCAGCATGAGAGATGGGAGCAAAGAGACACACACCCCCTACCTCTTGAAAAACAAGCTGACAAAAATAGCAAAAATAATCATCACAAAGTAAAGGCACAAAATCATAAAGACATGGAATGAAAAATGTCAGCCAAGTGAAGTGTTGAATAACATGCTTGACTCAACATACACATTTTATTCAGTAGGACATCTGTCCTAGACCCTAGTCTCATTACCTCCTTTAGCGAGGACATAAGGTACTGAAAAGGAATAGATCATTCTTGAATTTAGATGTTTATTACTACTCGTTTAAAAATGTAATAATAATACAGTGAAAAACAGTCACTGGTTTCCCTATAAATAGGTATAGAATGCTTTTAACAAGGACCTAGCAACTAAGATAAATACTCTATACAAGCTGAAGACTAAGAAAAAGTTCAGTTGGCCTACTAAGAAATAAACCAAATTAACACATGAATCTACCCTCCTTGTTAACAACTTGTCATTCCTATTTCCTTCCGTTTACAAGAGAATGGATCTATCATCATAGGGAAGCCAGCTATACGTAAGAAAATGGATCCATCATCATAGGGAGACAGCTATATGTACATTATGTCAACAGAAGCAGCAGGGATTTTGAGTGTGATAGAGGTAAGCCAGGAGCTTACTTTGAGTGAAAATTATCCAGAATAAACTAGAAAGCGTGTCTATTGGCATTTCACCACTCAAAGATACAAAACGATAAGGTGCTAAAGCCGAACAAAACTGATATCCAAGGTAGTGGTTTGAAATGTGAAAGGCCTTGTTTTACCACAGTTACATCTAACACCCTCCTGAAAACATAGATATTCTTGTTATTGACCCTGTCTATTTTTCTCTTTTTGAGACCTTGTGTCATATGTAATGTGCACGATCCCAATCAGTTCGTATACACCAAACAACAGCAAATTAATTAACTGGATAAAACACAGACTCCGAGGCTAACTTAAAACAAATGATCAACAACTCAAACAATCAAAAACATTATTTCCCGAAATTCCCATATATTACAAGGATGGGGCTCCTGTAAATCTCAGATACTAGCATACACAAAACTTAATGTAACAAATATGGACATACAACCTCATAACTCTGTTCCATACTTTAATTAATCGAGATCCTCCTGCCGCGCTTGCCCTCCAGAACCTGGATTTGACTCCCCACCACGAGAATTGTTGCTCGTACGGTTGTTGTCGTTGTTTCTATTGTTAGTATCATTGCCGCTCGCTCCTCCACTATTGCTCGTCTCAGCAGGTGATCCAAGTCCCCTGAAAAGCCATTGTAATGGTATCCTAAGCCTGCCCTCAACTGTCCTAGGTGTCTGAGAATTCTCCTGATTCCTCCCACCACCTTCTGAACCCCCAAATATCCAACCAGTATTATTGTTGTTGTTTGTATTGTTATTGTTACTATTATTGGCATTCGAATTTGAATTCTGCTGTTGTGATGTTCTCCTATTCTCGTAATCAGGATCATCGGTGGGCAATTCATAGCGACAAACAGGGCAAGAATTATGCAACTCCAGCCATGGCAATATACAGTCCTTGTGGTATATATGTTTGCAAGGCATCTGCTTTGCATCCTCACCGAGTTCAAAAGTATCTTTACAAACAGCACATTGAGATGAATCCGAACCCAACAACTCCACTGTGATCTTAATATCCGGAAGTCCAGCAACAGCCGATTTCGCAGCTGGAGGTGCACCGTAACGGTTTGGATCATTCTCCGCAAGCTGTTGGATCAATTGCTCCAGCCCAGGCCCATGGAAATAGTCACCGAAATTCCCCGGAAAACTGAACTCACCACCACCGCCACCGCCAGGATGGTTCTCGAAGACTAACTGAATATTAGCACCACCGGCCCTCATAGTACTCATATAGTTGTTGAGGAAAGCGAAAGGATCGAATTGATTGGGGGATCGACTGGGGAAGGCGGCACCGCCGGCACCACCAGCGATACCGCTCAATAGCGCGGAGAGATCATCGAAAGCAACGGCACCGCCGGCAGGGGAAGCGGCACTGGAGGAGAAAACAATCGGAAAGCCACCGCCGCCGAAGGGGAGGTCATCCGTAGTGGCGGCGGAGAAGAAGGGAAAATTATCGGGATTATTAGGGTTAGAAGGTGGCGGAGCGGTTTCGGATTCTTCTAGAAACGTACCGTTGCAATTAGGGCATGTGAGTTCGGAGTTTGGCGATGGCGTAATGGTAACTGTCTGTTCACATTGGTAGCAGTGATAATTCTGCGGTTGATTGCCGGTGGCACCGCCTCCTCCTCCACCGCTACCAAAAGTTCCGGGCGACGACATTTTTTTTTTGTCTATATATGGATTCTCCGTATGGAGAAAGAGAGAAGAAAGAAGAAACTAAGGGAAACTGAAATTTAGAGAGAGAAGAAGAGAAAACCGATGTGAGAGAGAGAAGTTAGGGGAATTTGAGAAATGGATGAAAAGAGGAGAAAGAGGGGCGCGTGAAATTGCAATTGCGAGTATAAAAAGCTGATAGGCTAATTTGAGTACTCGCTCTTGGATAGGTGGAGATTTTCGTGTGGGGTCGGTGATATGGGAGAATACAACTTCCGAGTCCCAGGTAAGTTGCTGTATAAGAATGTTCACAGGTCTAATATACATACACATGGCATCTAATTAGGCGCAATTGTAATTGATTTGTTTAATTTAATTAATTAAGGTCCCTCCAGTTCGGGCAAGTGTCCTCCTTTTATCAAAATGTTATTACCTGCTTCTTCCGATCTACTTTAATTGATTTTTTTGCTGTTTTTACACATATTAAGTAATTCACCTTTTAGTATTAATTAACAATGAAATTGACCTTATTAACCTTAATTTATTAATTGGAAATACAACAAATACTCCTAGGCTCTTTATTCTAAGGGCAACTTTGGAAAAAAACAATTAATTCTTTCTTGATATCTGAAAAAATCAAATATTGTGGACTACAAAACAAAAAGACAAAAAATCAATTCAAGTGAACCGGAGATAGTACAAATGAAATAGTCCATCATCTATATATTTCCTTCAAATTGTCTCAAACCAACCACAAGTTAAACTAAGAGGAGTGCAACAAGGTGAAGTTTTTGTTTTAATTGAATCAAGCATGTTTAGAAGTTTAAAAAAGTGACGCTGAGAAATTTTAGTAGAAAAATAGAAAGGAAATGGTAAGTTTTTTCAATTGAAATAAGGAGGAAGCTTTTCATATAGACAGTTAGAAAATAGAGAAATCAATCATAGTGCACGAAAATGAACGCCAAGAGGTTGGCATGTTGGATAAGTAAGCATTGGTTTCTAAGCAAAGTTGCAGAATTCACGTGAATTCCTAATTCTGGTATAAAAAAGAGTGGACCCTTTGAAAAAAGAACTCAGGCTAGATTGCATTCTTTAACAATATGAGAATACAACAGCCCATATTTTCATTTAAAGCCAACTAGAGCCAGGCACTTTCTTGACATCCCTACTTTGCATCAGTTCCCTCAAAGTTCCAACACCATCCCAGTTTTGCAGACCAGCAAATGTGTTGGACAATAACACATAGATTGAAGGATCAACTCTGTCGACTTGTAATGCTCGTTCTGCTGCTCGTTTTGCAGCTTCCATATCCCCATGAAGCCGGGATGCTCCAAGCAAGGTTTGCCAGACCAACAAACCTGGTTGAAATGGCATGCTCAAGATTAATTCCTCAGCTTCTCTAATGCGGCCAGCACGTCCGAGGAGGTTAACCATACAAGCGTAGTGATCTTCTCCAGGGAGAATACCATGGTCATGACTCATTGAAGTGAAATACTTCCATCCCTCATCAATAAGTCCTCCTTGGCTGCAAGCATAAAGCACACATATGAAGGTGATGTAGTTAGGCTCTGCCCCTTCCTCCCTCATCTGATCGAAAGTTTCAAGAGCTTTTTTGGGATATCCATTTTGCGCATAACCCATAATCATAGTGGTCCATGAAACAGTAGTGTGTTCACCCATTGATCGAAAAACTAAGAATGCACCATCCATGCAACCACATTTCGCGTACATGTCAAGCAATGCATTATCTACACAGACATCAATGTCATTCCCAAGTTTGATCCTCAATCCATGAACTTTCTCCCCTTCCTTGAAAGTGACTGTATTGGCACATGCACTAAAAGCAGTCGCTAGAGTAAACTTATTAGGCATCACTCCTGCCCTTCTCATTTCTCCAATGACCCTGAGAGCTTCAATTGGTTCGTCACAGTTCAAACACCCTGCTGCCATCTGCGTCCAGGAACAAACGTCTTTTAGAGGGATCTCCTCGAATGCTTTGAAACCCTCAGCCAAGCTTCGATTTTTCAAATACATATCCACCAAAGAGTTCCCTACACATATCTCACTTCCATGACCAAACTTAACCAGCTGGGCGTGAACTTGCACACCCAATTCAAAATCCAAAAGCTCTGCCAACCCAGTAAGAACACTAGCAAAACTGAAGTTATCTGGTACAACTCCTTCATGAATCATCTTGTACCAAAGTCTTGGCACCTCTGAGCAACAAGATTGCATGCAACCACCGATCATTGCATTCCAAGTCACAATATCTTTATTAGAACACCACTCAAAAACCTTTAATGCTTCACCTAATCTACCGTGCCTTATCAGAGCTGTCAGAAAAGCATTCGCTAAGTAAACATTAGATTCAAACCCAAGTCTTGTGATTAGTCCATAAACTTGGTATGCATGAGTCAAGTTTAATCTATCCTCAAACGAGCAAGCATGGAGGGCGCTCACAAAAGTGAACTCATTAGGCTTCGTTCCACTCTGGTGCATACGGGTAAACAAAGAGAAAGCTTCAATAGGAAATCCCTTCTGCACAAAGCCAGCAATGAGGGCAGTCCAAGATACCACATTCTTCTGAGGCATTTCATCAAACAGTTTGAGTCCATTCACCGTGTCACCACATTTCACATAAGCATTTAAAAGATGGTTGTGCAAGTATAGCGAAGATGTGCCGCCGGAGTTTTTCAGTAGTTTCGCGTGTATGGCTTTAGCGTTATCCAATTTTGACGTCTTCACACATTGACGCAGTATATTTGAATATTTGCTTTCCTCCTCCTCCTCCTCCTCCTGGTTCTTGTCCCATGTGAATGACATAGTGACAAGCGATCTGTAGTTTTTCTTTGATGTAAATGTAGAGAAAGACGGTTCATTATTAATACTAATTCGTGTTTCATGTAAACTTGTGAGCTTTCTGAGTTTAGAAATAAGCATATGCGCTTTTTTGTGTTCATATAGCTTCTTCAGAGTTATGTAGTGTTTCTGCACCCCGGTTTGGACTTAGGTGGAGAAGTTGAAATGAACCATCAATGTGTAAAAAATAAAACTTTGTAATAACAAGAGAGTAGAACCTTATCTATAGAACTCGCCGAAAGATTCAATCATAAGGAAAAAATAAGAAATATATTTAGATATTTAGTTGCATTATGCCTCATATCTATTAAAGCTGGATATCACGCAGGTCATTGTTATAGAATACCAACTAAGATATTATAATTGTATATTCCCTGTTTAATCTCTATGTCTGAGCATCATTTTGTGTTTAATGTTTAACTCAGTATCTGTCATGTTTTCTTGGTGTCACTTTATTAAACAGGGCTAGATTAAATTGATACAAGGAATAGCCAAATGTAACTACGGACTAGATTAAATTGAAAGAAAAACAGCCTGATGTAGTCCTGCAATATTATGAAAGTTAAGTCAAGAGAGAAATGCAAGAGGTCACGGGAAGGGGAGCCTTGGCGTAACTGGTAAAGTTGTTGCCATGTGAAGAGGTCACGGGTTCGATCCGTGGAAACAACCTCTTGCACAAATGCAGGGTAAGGGAGTATACATTAGACCTTGTGGTCCGACCCTTCCCCAGACCACACGCATAGAGGGAACTTAGTGCACCGGGTTGTCCTTTTTTAAGTCAAGAGAGAAACAAGAAACATATTTCGCGACAATATGCCTCGGACCAAAGCTTGACATCAGATCATTAATAAAGAATACAAACTAAAGTCTTGACTCGCAACTCAAATTCTTTTCAACAGCAATAGACAAGGCTAGCTCCCCCATAATTTTCAAGAAGTTGTAACAGGCATCAAGTCAAGCTTTCCTTTCACATATTAAACCATTGAAAAGGAAGAAGAAAGGCAACAAAGTTAAGCATACAAAAGAGCACTTGCAATAGAAAAAACAAAACATGCTTAATTTGTTTCTTAGTAACTCAGAATCAGTCATGTTTTTCATCTCTACATTGACCAAGGACTACCAGAATATACATTGAAACTTGATATCATTACTCAAATTAATAACCTAAGACAAAGTAATTGTAACTTCCATATGAAAACTGTGTAACCAAAGCCTTTCTAAACATGCTTTCCTTAAGGATGGAACAAAAACTGATGCATATCACTTTATCTATTATAGGTAATGGCCTGTGCATATTGTTAAACCAAGGACTAAAAGGAGAAAAGAGTTGCTGTTCCTATGACTGACTGAGTGGAACTAAGCTCATGGTATATGGAACCACTGTGGCAACAAAAAAAGGCTTTGGCGCGAGAGCAGAAAGGCTACAGAGGTGTCTCATCTTCCTTGTCTCAAAGTGATACAAATAGATATTAACTGAAACCCTCATAAGCAAGATGTTATCCTTGAAAGCTAGAGTCCCAATCCAAGGGATGTCATCAGTAGTGAAGTTACTTGCCAACTTTTCTGCTATCTTGAACAGATACTTGTTGTTTTCATTTTCCAGCTCTTTTAAAGAGATTGTATAAGTAAGATCCCATTGAGACGTAAAACGATCCTCAAGCACCCACAACTGAAGTCCATGCTCACAAATCAACACGTAATGCAGCCTCCCTTCAGCTTCTCCCAAGCACATCTCGGGTTTTAAATTGAACTGGTTTCTAGGGAGTGGTATGCTTATCAACAAAGATATCTCATTTTCTGGATCAAACATGAGGATTTGGTCTCCATCAGTAAGCCAATATATAATCCCCTTAACACAAACGCATCCCTTTTTCAACATGTTGCGATTGCAATAACAAATCTCTCCTGATCTTCTCCACAATCCTGTTTCTGATGAATAAATGTTAAAAGAGAAATATCCATATCCATCCCCTTCTGTGCTAGTTTCATCTTGATAACTAACTATCACAACCTTAAATTTTGTGAACTCATCAATCGGTTTCTTCAATGGCTCAAAAACCAAGGTTATGCTGCATTCTCTAGAAGGATTTGGCCACTGAATTGCTTTCCACTCCTTATTCACAGGGTTGCAGATGTAAATTAGGGGAACGTTACAAGGAAAGATACTTCGACAACAGACAAGTCCATATCTTGAATCGAGGATGACAATATTTTCTGGTAGGAAATCAAGAACATTATTATGGACTTCTTCAGTGGCAACTGATCCTGATATAGGCATGTAGCTGATCCAGTCATAATCTTCATCACACCACTGGTACCTACCTTGGTAGAAGAAACCAGAGGGGGGTTCCATATTTTTCAACTGAACTTGGATGAAACTGCGGTCAGATATAAGACATTGCCATTCCTTTGACACGCATTTCAGTTTCAGCAAATCCTTAGTAGACAATTTAGGTAGTACTTCAAACAGCATATCATTGCTTGGAGACCAAAGTTCCTTCTTCATTTCACAACCCTGAAACAATTTGATTTTGTTAACACAGGAAAATGAACTCTCAGGTCTTAACCCCTATTTCAACGACGAAGACCCACATAACAGTGAGAAGACATAACCTCACTCTGCCCAAAAATTCAAACTAGAGGAAGACTAAAAGCACGTTTAACAAAAAAATTTAGCAGTACAGCAATCAGAGAGCTAGATACAAAAAGAGCTACTACTCTATACTAACTGGAATTAACATGTGCAATAAATATTATAGATATGATCAACGGCGAAATAAGGAAACTCCTTAACATTTTCGTCATAAAATATCATGCACAAGACTGCATGATATTATATTTGAAAAAATATCATGCACAAGACCTCCCCAACCCCTAAATCGCATTGCTTATAAAGAAGACGAAAAAAAAAAAACTGAAGAAACCAACTGAATAAGGTAACGATGAACCAAGTGAACAACATTGTGAAACAGAAAAAGATGGAAAGAAGTAAAATAAACGAAAAACACTGTATTCATTATATGTTATATTTGAAAATTGGACTTTAATTACAACATGTTTCTTATGCATTTTTCAGCTAAAATCAACAGACTTTGTCAGAGCGAAATGGATTAGCATTAGAAATTTAAGTCCAGAAAACTAGAAAACAGACCTTGTATGCCTGAGAAAACTTAAGAACAGGTTCGAGAAATCCTCAGAATGAAAACATAATTGTTTCTTTGTGTAAACAGACCTTTCATTTTCTCTGCTTATGATTTTCTCTCTGTTTCTTTGTGTGCAAGTAGCTTGCTTTTCACTTTTACATGCAAAAAACAAAGATGGTGCTCAGTACTCTGGCACTGGAAATATGGTAGTGGCAAAGTGGGCGTGCAGTTTTGGCTGCGTGACAGAGTCTGCAGACCCTTCAAATGCTGCAACCGAACTTGTACAAATTATGATTACGGATACAGACAGAGTCAGAACGTACTCACTGCTTACACGTGTCCTCCCAATATGCTGACCTCCTTTCCTTAATTTTCCTCCACTGTTTTTAAATACATATTCCTTGGTTTTGTCATATACACTTCATCTAAATAATTTGTTTTATTATTATAAGGTGATCTAAAAATCAAACTATAATAGCAATGTGAGTTTATAACCTTAAACAAGGGATCTGTTACAGGTGGTGTAAAGAAATAGTGTATATAGCTTAATCGACCCCAATTTGAGATTGGAATGTTGTTGTTGTTGTTGTTGATTGATGTGTGAATATGATTTTGAGTTTATGCTTAAAATGAAAATAGGTTGATAAGATAACGTCATCAAATAGTAGTGATCTTTCCTTTCTTTTGCACTTTAACGATAATTCAATAGTAGAATATCATTCGATTAGTTTTTTTAATTAATTTCCTTTTTCCCAATTAGAGTATTAGGCGTGAATAGAAAAGTCATTAAGTAAATAATACATGCTTTTTATTTGCACCTTTGGTTATCATCTTTACTTATTAAATCCAAGAAAAGACCGGAAAAGGAAAAAAATTAAAGAAGTTTGTTGCACGTCGCCAATATGTTCATTTTTGTTGGTAGTGTGACTAAATTACGTGTAATCTAAAAAAAATATGAAAAACACTTGCTCTGGCGCTACAAACAAAAAAGCAAAGAGGTTATTGTATGTCAATTTCATTTAACATTTAGATCATTGATTAAAAATTGCTTAATCGAATATTACAAGCAATTTTGTCTATATTCATTTCTTTTTCCGAAATAGATCTTTTTGGAGGATGTCGCTGCCCCGCAGAGGTTCTTCCTTTATGAACTAACTATATCCCAAAGGGAAATAAAATTTACAAGAGAGGGCCAAATTTCTCTGAGCCTTGTTAAAATACTAGTAAATGAAACTATGACATCCCGTGCCACAATTGCTACATAAATTGCCTTCTGAATTACTCTAATTGGTTCATGTCAAAACAAGATTATTCCTCTTTATCGTTCTCTTGATTATAACTTTCACAACAAAAATGAGCAGTTTGGTGCATGTTTAACATTATGGCTTGGCCAAAAGATCAGAAACAAACCCAGAAAAGCTATCGGGGAGCCAGCGGCGGATCCACCTTATAGGCTTCGCGGGAAAAATACATATATATACTATGTAATGACTCCCCTTAATTTCCCAGTATGTTTACTTTTATATATTTTGACACCCCTTAAAAAAAATTCTGGCTCCGCTACTGCGGGGAGCCAAGAATTCACAAATGGTTGTCAGGTGACTTAATTGTTCATATTTAGCTGAGAGTTGAATCACAACAAGTATTGAAAATCTAAAATAACTTCGATTTAAACACAATTCAACAAACAACTAATAATTAATCCACAATAGCAAACATATTACATTCCAACAACTCAGGAAGCAGGGGAAGGATAGAGAAGCAAAAACTTAATGGAATTCATAACTTGCAAGGCTGGTAAAAACAACCAACTCTCAAAATGACATATACCATTGGTAGATAACGAACTAAGGATGAATACAAGTAGTAGTTCATTTACTTTCACGTAGAGGGAGAATTGTTTAAAAATTGCAGAAACAGAAACTGAAAAAAGATCTAAACAGGTCAATTAGCAATGTGAAATTCGAGGCCACAATCCTTCCAAATTTGTCAAGACTCTCAGCGCTTGCTGCGTTCAAGTGATTTGTTGAAAGGTAAAAAGTGTTTCTTACCCTGGAAGGAAAACTCCATACCCTTAGAATCCATCTTTACTTCCCCACCACCAATGGACGTC